AAGATCGATCACGCACACTCAGTGACACTGCGTGCCGCGCCGCTGTGCTACATAAACGCGTAATGACGATGTCACCTCGGGTGGTGAGGAAACGTTTGTAACCAAACTGCCGAGCTCAGTGCACTCTCAGTGCACCAGCTGAACAACCTGAGATACCAACATTAGCTTCTATATCATAGTTAGTTTTGACCTATGATTCTTCATCACGTTCTTTAGGATACTCTGCATAGCACAAGTATTGGTACACACGTGGCTCGTGATCGTTGCTGCCCAAATAATGCACGTGGTTTCCATGTCAACCGTCTGTTCCTCGTAGGTTAAAACGTGGTCCAAGGTAGCCGGTTTGTTTCCTCTCTTGAAACGTGTTGGAGAAGTGACGTGGTCGTACAGCGTTGAACCAGCGATAAGCTTTGGCTGATCCGCCTTGAATTGTCCACCCAGAGTCGACGGGTACTCTAGACCGTGTATATTGAAGTCCGCTACCAAAAGAACGTGGCTGTAAAATCGTCCCAGTAGATTCTCCGCATCGGATGATAGAGCCTGGTCTGTTTCTAGGGTAAACTTTGGTGGAAGGTATACAATGGCCACTAAGCATCCTGCCTTAGGTGTACGCAGCACCATACGACGTCCACAGTTCGTATCCTAGGATAGTTTAGGCGCTCGATGATAAGGTCGGAACTGTAGTGTAGAATCAAACCACCTTGCCTTGTGAATCGGTCGTTGCGCAGGAGTGACATACCAGGTAGTGTGCTCTCCGCGTCGGAAATCGCATTGTTCAGCCATGTCTCAGTTATCATGATGAGGTCGCAACGTATTGAGGTTTGACAAGCTCAAATTCTGCCAATTTACTGAGAAGCTCTGGGTGTTTGTACACAAACAACAGAGAACAAGGGATTTTAGAAGCGTATTTGAACATACATAGGTTTCAAGTGAATTGACTCCGACTCTTTTGGGGCCGGCTGACAATCGTTTTTCATATATATTTCTCACCAACACCCCGGGATGCTTTCGGTCTGTTGCATAGAGCACCCACTAGCTGGTCCTTCAGAAGATATTTGCAACGGATAATCTGTTCCTTCCTCTTCGGATGGCTGGGGAGTTTCACTGAGTTTGCTGTTTGAAAATGTAGACAACGGGGATCGCGACAACTTCTGGCTGTTTTTGTGTTCCCTCACCCAATAGTGGCCTGGCTTCGACCGCCTTCAGACGTATCTCTGACGGCAGCTTGGTGCTTAACTTGAAGCAACTTCCGAGCGCTCTTTCAACAATTGGTTTGGGGTAGAGCATGAATTTTAACACTCTTGGACAACTTTCTTTGTAGTTTGGTGATATGCACAACGTTATCGTTGCTTTGGCAATCATATCATGGAGAGAGATGGCTTTGCGAATGTACCGCCACTCATCCAAGTCATGAGCTTGGGCCTGCGACTTGTCGGATGACTGGATTTCGGGACACCAATGGACAAATATCGGTCTTTCGTCTGTTTGCTTACGGTATTCTCTTGGGTTTTGCTTCCTGTGTTGACAGTCAGTCCAAGGGATGTCAGGAAATATACGAACGCTGCATGAAGAAGCACGATGACGGTAAGATGACAAGAGGGTGGTCTCCGCTTCGTCACGTAATTGGAATGACACCTAAAGTAGTCTTGGCTCTCCATAGTGAACTGAATTTGGGTGGCGGACGATACTACAAAACTTAACCTTTTTGGCCTGGATTCCCAGCTTTGCATATGATTTCCCATTGTTTCAAGTCGTCCAGTAGTTTATCTTTAATAGAGTTTGCCTTTGATTCAGGTACGTTGTAGAAGGTTATCTTCACTGAGTTTTGCGACTTCTTAGAGTTCGTAATTTTAAGTAAGATTACATCTCCTTTTATTGACAGTGTGGTGCGTGGTCTTCTCAGAGTCTGCAGCGTGTGTTAATCGTTCTGCCTTAAGCGACGATGCAGGTGGAGCGCTGATAAGCGTCCCTAGAGGTGCTCAGTTGATGAGCGTAGCAAAACTACTGTAACCTTGTTATGCTGCAACTTTCAGGGATCGTTCTCGCGTAGTTTGGGAGCCCTCAGCTTCATCTTCCGAAAGAGACCAAATCTTTTCCGAAAGACCGGTCTGATGTAGTTACACAAGTGGAATTCGGCAAAGAATATGCCAAAAACTGGGAACTGGAGCAAGAGTATAATCCACACAGGTTAGATCCAGGAGTTGGGAAGCACTGAGTAGAGCTCGTCGAACTGGTTCGAACGAGCGCAAGCACAATGTTGTGTGGGAAGAATTGGAGTGGCCACAGAGGGCAAAGCGAGAGACTAGTTAAAGTGCGGCCGCACGGTATTCCTGTCATCTCTAACACATCGGAGTAGTTCCAGATATACCCGCTAACCTTGATCTGGGTTTGCATACAGCGACGACGGATGCGTAAGTTGTCAGACTCTCGACAGTGTTAGGTAAACGCGAATGCAACAGTGTGTCATGTGAGACAGACACTTCCCCTGGAGAATCCACTCTCTGCAAAACTTGGGACTTGCTCAAGCTGCTGCATACCATCCTCGTGGAAGGAGGCGCCAGGTGAGGCATAGCAGCGGTTAGAGACCTTGTCTGACCGAGCAAGAGCGGAGTCGATAGAACCGACAGTAGACTTTTCACAACTAATGGATACCTTACTATTTCAATAATTACACTCACTTTGTTTCGGCCATCGTTCCATTGCAATCTGCTTGCACTCTGCTTCATATTCCATACCAAATTTTACTTGTTGTCATTTTTGGGACACTGCAGCTGCATCCACCACCGTTCGGTGCCCGAATCATAATGTTAAGTGGCGCTACTTCATTCCGCGTTTAAGTCTCTTCTCCCTTTAATCTATCACTGTATCCTTATCTCATGCATAATCACGCTGATACGGAGACTTTACGATAACAACCTTTAAGAAATCTCAATTGGCGCTAACTTTCTCCAACTGCGAATATTTGAAGGTGAGTGTTATGAGTTAATTCGATTAATTCACAAATACTGATAACGTGAGATCGTTTGATGACGAATTGGTGTAGTTCGGGTGGCTGTGTCTGACGCACTATTAATGCAATCGATCTTTAGTACAAGTAAGCCTATAGACGCTGTGATTTGTACACGGATTTATTTGATGAATTGTGATCGACCAACACCCAGATGACCTCGTTTCTCGGTCCGCTGGGCCGCACAATCACAAATACCATCTACCTAGGCAACCAGATGGCCTGAATCCTGACGTTCCGGCTCCGATTGGTGCTTCCAAAGCTGCGTGGACACATTGCATCATGGACCCTTCGGTGGCTTGTAACTAGGATACAGTGAACTGCAACAGCTGATTCAACCGAAAGTACCAACCATTTATGGATTGATGTTTCACAGTCCAGCCCGATCGATTTCAGTGTCTTCAATGTGTGTCACAATGGCCATCAATAACTTCCGTCGGAGGCAGAGGTCGGTTTGTGTGTCGAATTTTCAAGTTGATTTCGAAGCCCTGGTGGTGCTTTGTTTACCTCTATCGATCTTAAGGAGAATGTCACCGAAATAATCCATGCCTGTTTCGTAACTGTGAATTCAACCATAACGGTGGACTAGTGGCAATTAAACTGATAAGTCAAGAGCCCACTAACGGGCGTGTGGTGGGCAGTAACAACCATTTAGATCACGTGACCTTCAGTGTTAATCAACCAGAGAACGAGAGGCTAGAGCAATCGCCAGCCTCATGGCCACAATCGCGGTCGCATGCACAGCAATATAAGCAGGCCCACTACCACAATAAAGGCTTCACTTCTCTGATCGTTACCCTGCTAGCTGGTAAGCACCATCTTCTGATTTCAGTGGTTCGGTTGACTCGCAGCATCAACTTGGCACAGGCTAGAACAGGTGGTGTGTAGACTGTATGTCGCAATGGAAAATCCTAAGCACATTCAAAGTACCTAAGTCTGCTAATAGCGCTCTCTGTATCCTTCCATTATGGAGGTGACACAGTTTTTCTTTGGTAAAAACGCCTCCTCATTAGTTCAAATTCAGCAGGTGTGCAGAACTTAACTTGAGCATTGCTCCTCCACCTGCCCTTAATATCCTTTGCTTAATTAGCTCACGTGCGAGAAAGAATCGTCTCCCTGTGTTTTTCCCAGCATTGTTACTTGGTTCCTGTGATGAGGATCTACCAGTTGGAAGATTTAACCATCATGATGTTGGGGCCACCACATACGCTTGTGTCTCAGTGTGTTCACCACTAGCATCCTTGTGTATATGGTTTGTTCTGCCTACTGAAATACTTACTAAAATGGTTATGACCAGCAATTCTGATCGCCCTTTAGGATGCAGGTTCGCTACACCAATTGAACTCGCCTCCTGAATGCACGGTCGAGCAAATCACAGCCACTGCTGGCGTAGTGATATCGCATGGATCACCGAAATTGTTCCTTCGTTTAGCGTGCAACACGTCGGAGCGAGTAACCCACCGCAATGCATCAAACCACCGAGCCTCATAGTTTCATGCACCACCATGTGTTGGACCACACAAAGCAGTAACACTTATGCTCATGTGCTTCGAATAGAAAATGATCATTTGAGCTAGAAGGGTGTCAGATTTCGTTTAGTAGTGAGTGCAATTTGGCACAAACCACGGACTTCAATGTCACGCATTCTGTATTACTTCACAAAGCAAATACTGTTTGAATATGCCATTTATTAATCAAAGCGCGAGGGGCTTCATGAGGTCATGTGATTCATCATTTCACTCTTGGACAGATGCGAATCCGAGGCACCTTAGGTCAGGCCTACTTGATGACCAGTTATTATTACTGGCAGGCGGTACAGCCAATTTAGCAACTTCGTAACTATGTGCCCCAAACAGCCGTCAGGCCAATAAACCAGTGCTCAATATCGATACGCGCATGTTTTCATTAACTTTATGGAGTGTGCACATGCTGAAATGAACGTCCTCTCATCCACCTCAATTCTATCGATCATCATCTTGTTTCCAGCATATCAATGACCTTGGTTCAGGCCATTCACCATCTTCGGTTTGCTTGCAAGGATTTATGGAAATCCTACCGGATATTTACTTGCGCGTTTGGCTACAAATTTCATTGTTTATCGAGACATGAGGATTGCCTGAGTTTGGTTATCAAAAACGGACCAACATTGATCGCGCTTAGTGACAGTGGGAGTGTCTCTCACTTGAGTGGAATAAACCGTCGTTATCCGCAGACAGATGGTCCGTTTGACATTGCCTTCGAGGTGAACGATGTACATCAAATATGTGACAGAGTGCGTCGAATCAATGGTTCCAGTTACATCTTAGCGGAACCCGAGGTACATGCCGATCAAAATGGATGTGTCACAATGGCAGTGATCCGATCGTGTGTCGGTGAAGTCGTGCACACTCTTTTGGATAGTTCAAACTATCGCGGACTGTTTCTGCCAGGCTACGTATCTCTAGAATCAATTTCCCTTGCTGACGTCGCCGAGCGTCTACAGCAGTCTGCCACCTTACGCGCTTCAGTCGACGTTGTTTGCTTGGATCATGTCTCATTTGCATGCAGGCATGCCGATACTGATAGGGTACTGCATTGGTACTCTCAAGTATTTGAAATGAAACGGGTTACGTGCAGCGAGTAATTCTCCCTAAGAAATGTTAATCCTTTACGTTACCGCAGATCTGAGAATGAAATCGACGGCGTTCTGATCGAACACGACGGAATGGGCATGCGGCTCATAACGTTGGACACTGGCGCAGGACACGTCAAAAATACTTCGGTTGCCAGCTTCGATACTTGCAAGTTGGTACTCACGGAACCATTGACCGAGGCCGGTAAGTTGCTGCGTTGGTCGTAGTGGCGTTAACTACATTCTAACCCGTAAATTTCTTTTCGCGGCTCACAGACGACGATCAGCTCACTCGCTTTCTGAAAGTGAACAAAGGACCAGGTATCCAGCACATCGCCCTACGAGTTTGCGAGATTATGGCCGCTGCTCAGTCCGCACGCAACAGGGGAGCCCAATTCATTGACACCCCAAAGGAATATTACGATGAGGTTAGTTGGAGGCACAAAATATTTTCTCGCGTTGACAGCATTATATACGGCACATTTTATGACTTTGTGTAGGTAGCACAGCACTGTGCCATCTTGTTCCTCTGAGGGCTATAACTTATGCTGCTTTTAGCTCCACTTCGGATTTGAGGCACGTTTCATTGGGTGCGTGATAACATCTAATTCCAAGTTCATGTCTGTGATTATTTGATCGAGCAATCGGAGAAAACAATTCATCGATTGCTCTTTCTGGTGGTTACATGCATATTTTGTTTTATCAAACTTCTCGGTTTACCACATCATTGATGCGTGCCTTGGTACTGTGGGTCGCACGCTAGGAACAGATCTAAACACTCAGTTAACACATAACCATGACGTGGTCAGTTATTCGTACTCTGTTAATCAGCACATTTGACCAATCATCACTGGAACCAATAATTTTGCCCCGTACCAGCAGCGCCATCGCTCCTCTTACGCAGTTGCTTGAACCAGGCGCTAGCCACTACTAAGGCTCATGTATATGCTCCTAATCAATTCAAGTCAAGTCAAGGTAAGCTATATGAACATTAATGGGTTCATTTTCGACATCTACACCACCAATGCGGACACCTGGATGATCATATCAATATATATGCTTGGGTAGAAAAGTGGGAAAATGCAGCACTGTTACTCCAACACGTGCTCGCGTAGCACCTTAGTGAGTTTTGCTGTGTCAACAAGCAAACGTGAGAGATAGGGCAAATCAGTATTACGGTACCATGACGTGCGGGAGTATAAAATTCGGAATTCCGAACGAGTAGAAGAGAAAGAGAGCGTTTGGGAAAGATCTTTGTGGACTGGATGAAATCGAGCAGTAAGTATCTTAGAAGAAAACTCATTGCAGGCATCATGATGTCTAGAAATGATCAACTCAACTAAAGAATCTCTAGACAAACCACAGCATCAAGAAACGCGCTTGATAGATTGTAGCAATAAGATGTAGTCTTTCTGAAGCAGTCCAGGGAAAATGACAGGAGAGCAGTATGATCAATGGGGAATAATGTAGGAGGTCACAGATTTGAATATTAAAGTACCGGGTACTGAAAGCACAAGCCTAAGGAGATAAAAAGAATGTTTTCTGCCTTTCTTAAAAGGTTTACACTAGTGCCTGGATCAAGAAAACTTGGACAAAAGGACGCTGAGAGACTTGACATTGGAAGAGCTGGGTATGGGATTTTCATTCACAGTAAGGGTGAGAGAGAAATCTATGAGGAACTGCAACTTATCGTCACGTAGAATAGGAAATATTGCATCACTGCATTTAAAAGCATTAAGCGTAAGAGATCTAGATGAAGACCATTCTGCCAGATCTTCCAAATCATGTTGAAGTGATGAGTAATTCTGGTTAGTGGGGGACATACATCCCAGCACAACATCATCAGCATATTTACACCCTATAACCGTAGTTTATATAGGGAAATGTTCAACTTTCATGAATGCTGCTGCGATGCGCAAAGATGCGAGGAGTGACAATTTTGAAAAGTTCACTTTCGTCATAAAGTTAGGAATTTTATAGCACATGTTAGTCATAGAATGTTTGGCGCGCTATTCGATATTCGGATCACTTTGAGAGTTTAACTTTTAACATGACCGTATTTCTAGTTCACAATTAGACAGTTTATTGTGTTTAACTGACTCTTCTAGGATCAAGTGTCCGCAGGACATGATGTTTGATTTGCTAGCTGAGAATATCATCTGCCATGCGTCACGCCATTCGTCGACTGAATTGAGCTCTTCTTGAACGAGTATCATTATACTCGGGAGTTCATCTCGTCGAAAACAATCGTAATGTCATTGACAAATAAAACTATTCTGCCATGTTTGATAGACATGCTTAATATAGAGTAGGAAAAGGGAGTGACCAAGTACTTTTCTTTGAATGGCTCCACTGGTTATGGGACGCTGGGAAAAGTTTTGGTCACTCAGAGTGATTGTCTTATAACCCCATTTAGGTATGATGTCGACCAACGCAGTACTTGGTATCTGATCCCAAATTTCTCGACTATTCAATAACCGCTTGTGAAGAACTCGATCGAATGAGTTTTTCATGTCCAGAAATAAAATGCTAGTTATATAACTGGAGTCGGTGGATTCTGTGATGTAATTCAGTGGGCTTCTCACGAGTGCGATATCGGCGTGATAGTTCAAGATGACCTCGGTTGTTTGAGGCATACTGAAAAGGCAGCTAAGAAAGCAAACTAGTACCTCGGCCTTCTTCGCAAAGCTTTCGGGAAGTTCGACCCTTCGGTCTTTCCAAAAATGCTTAGTGCGTAGTGAGGCAGCACGCGGAATACGCTATTCAAGCATGGCAACCCTGGCTCAAGCACCATTTCACCGGGATCGATACTGCACAACGTAGGACAACGAAGAGCTTCAGAGGTTTGACCAGCCTCCCCTACCCACTCAGACTGAAGACCCTCAAAATATACTGTGGACGTTATCGACGTCTGAGGGGCGATCTCATAATGGTGTACCAGATCCTGAGAAACCCCAACCACCCATGCCATTCCCTTCTAATACTCAGTCAAAACACCTCGCTAAGAGGTCACCAGTTCAAGTTAAGCACGCAGTACAGCCGCCTGGAAAGTCGGCGAAACTATTTCTCCCTTCGAGTGTCACAGCTTTGGAAAGCCCTCCCGGAACATGTAATTAATGCACTCACCCTATCCCTTTTCAAAAAACGCCTTGACGATACTCCGTCACATTTACACTGCGTGCTATAGTCCATGACCACCAGATGTTGGCACTAATGCACAACAGACAGTGGATAGTGCCATAACCCTACTCGAGAATGAGTCACTCCAAACCCCTTGCACGAAATTTGATAAACGCTATTACTATAGAAACTGGATTCCTGTATCCTGTCGACCCAAGATAGTTGCACACGAGTAAGCGTTGTCCTTGCTAGCTTTTTATTTTTTCTCACCTATTATGTGATCAATAACTACTCCCCTTATTGTTTTGTGTGTGTACATTCTAATTTCAAACTCCCTGAATACGACAGTGCAGTTAAAGCTGTAATCGCCAGACTCCATTATCCATTGATCTATCTTTTTTATCACGGTACACACCCTACGGGACATGTCAAGCACCTGCTTTTTTACCCGTTATAAATCATTGTTCATCATTGTTCATTGTTCAGGTAGTGCGACTGGCAAGTTGTACACGAACATTTACCGAGGAACCAATGCAGAGCTTTGTTTAGCAGCCCATTATTGCACTTGTAATGTGTTTTTCGCGCAATCTGACAATTATGGGAGTGTGATGGATAGGCCGGTAACTAGCAACGTTCAATTTGAAGTCCCCTTTACTGCCAGGGGTAATAAACAATGTTTTCCACTTGTTCAGCAAATAGCTGGATTCTAACGATAACGTAAACATGTTCAGCCAAAGCAGTGATATGTCAGGTCCCACGAATTTACTAGTGGGTGGAGGATGCCATCGGACTCCTGCTTGAGCGAGGGTTTGATGGGCCTCATTTTCTGTTGTATGTTTGAACGAGAACTCTTGACATTGTATATGACGTACGTTGTTCCGGGCAGGAAGGTGTGGGGTCAGCTTCCAGACTCATGGAAGCAGCAAAAATATCTAAACCCCTTACAAACAACTGGTGGGTCGTTAAGGTGACTACTCTGCTTGTTGATCAGTTCCATGATCTGAGGCCTTGTCGTTAGTTCGATGACGACGTAAATGTTCCCCTTCTCCTTTTACATCCGCATTGTTTATGAACGTTTGTACAGGTGATGGATTCGGGCATTTGTACTACTGAATACCGAACTTAGAGAGAGAAGATATAAATTTGTTTTGCTCCATCCTAGTTAGACTTGGCATCTGCGCGGAATCACGTCGCTTATCCTGCGCAGTGGCAGCATATTACAGCTGCACTACATCTTCTCCGGGTACGATACGCTCCCTATACCTGTAATCCACAAAGTGGGCGTCGAGGAATCTCTTAAGTTCCAACACTGCTTTCGCCTTGAGTGGTGTTTCCGGCAATTTGTTCCAATACTTAGCCATTGGACGCTCGAAGCATATAAGGTGAGCGAGACGCCTCAAATCCGATATCAACAGTTTTTGTACTGGTGTCCGCGTTTGCTGCTTGGTGCGCCAAAGTGCAGCAGCGGCATCAACATAGGGAAGTGGTCCGGATACGATATCCGGTACGTCATTAGGAGATCAACACGAAGCGGACGATCGAACAGGGTATACAGCCCTAGTCTCTTAAATCGATCCTCGTACGACAACCCGTAAATTGGGGATGAGCTAATTAGATACATGCTAAACCCGTTCTAGTGTCTTCCCCTGACCTATTGTGATCATACAGTATACGCGAGAGCTGTACTCAAGCAGCGTCATCATGGAAGCGAACAGGCGAGTGGCAATCTCTTCAGACCAAGTGCAGAAACTGCGTCCAAGTGCCCAAAGCAGGCGTAGTCCGTTTGTGTACAGTCTGTTCGTGTTGTCGATGGACTTAACATCACAACGTGACGGTACACCTAAATCCTTTACGGAGCTTGTCGGATGCAGCGGTTGACCGGCTGTGATGTACTTACGCCTATTACCATGCTTCCCCAGACTCATAAACGACGACTTGACTGGGTCGACCGTCAGATCAACTTCTGCGGACCACTGGGACAGCGGTCATGGTTCTGCTGAAGGACATCACAGTAGTCGGGCGAATTACTAACTCTCTAACTTATCAGGTCGTCTGCAAACAATGTACAGGACGACCAAAGAAGCTAAGGCAATTTGTTGATGTGGATGGGCCCAAGTAATGTGCCTTGGGGTACGGCGCTAGTAGAGGGATATCATTCCGTTCGTGGGCATCCAACTGTACCAGCCATTTTCTCCCAATGATGAAGACACTGATCCACTGGTGCAGTGCGCTATCAACACCACACATCCTCAGCTTGTGGAGCAGGACCTCATGGTTCACTTTATCGAAAACTTTACTAAAATCAACG